AAATTAATCTATTAAATTTTTTAAGCGACATCATCAATACTTACAACATTTCCATGAACAGGTGTCATTCTTTCTTCACGATTCGCCCAACTTAAATGGGATATTTTATTATCACCATAAGTTCCATTCTGACTGTACGGCGAGACTTGTGGTTTCGAACTTCTGTCTACTTGCGGTGCTTTACGATCTGTCAACTGAGCAATTCAGATATTTTTATCAAGTTATACTTATTTTTCAAATTAAAATCTTTTTTTGTTAAATCAAATGTAGAAACCTGAAGTAAATTTGGACTGGAATATGAGCGCTCTAAATTCCCTCCCATCGATGTACTATCCATTTTCAGAGGTTCCTTGTGGATATTATTTTCATTCTCATTTGTCGACAATTCCTTGTAGTTATTTTTCATAGATATTCTATTGGTGAAAGATATACAATATAGTAAATGAAGCAATTTTTAACATCATATTTTTGTACTCACTCTCGTAATTTCTCCCGATCCGCAGAAGTATCTTTCATTCGCCGTTTTAGTATAGCGAGGGTAAACTCGAGATTTCCCTTCTCGTTTTCTTCTGCGGGACTGTATTTAATTGATTTCTCGCAATATTTAGCGAGTTCATCTTCGATCTTTTTATATTCTTTTTGCTATGAAAGAAATGAATTATATTTTTAATTATAAATTAGAATTATTTACATAAGAATGATTTATTAATTAAATATATTCGGTACCTTATCTTCTAATTTCGAGCACAAAGATTTTACATGATTATGAATATATTCATCCTCCTTCAAACCTTTGTATTTAATGTCGTGTTGCATATATAAAGTGCGTTCCTGTTCTAAAATTTCTTGCTCCAACTCCTGCTTATTCTTTGCATACTCGTTTAACTGTTTCATTAATTTCAACACTGTTTTCGATTCAGAAGTAGTGTCCAAAGAAACTGGTTTGCTACTTCTATCTATTATTGGTTTCGTAGGCATGCCGTTCTTCAGGCTAAGACCCAACGTATTCTTGTGTTGAAGTTTCAACGAATTATTATCGTATTGTCGCAAGTTCGTGTTGTTTTTAGGGATTTTATCTGCTTCGACAGAATTATTCATAAAACTCTTAGTACGCACAGAAATGTTGTTACTCATTTCTGAGTCCATGTGTTTGTACCACATTTTGTCATTCATAATGCTAACTTTCGACGCAGTTTCGTCTCTGTTTATTGATTTCAATTTAATTAATTTATTTTCACGCGACCTAACAATGTTCTCCTCCGCATCTAAGTGTATTAATTCAGGGTACTCTATATTATCTAATATCTCGTCTGCAATGTCGTTTAAAGCAGGCTCGGCGATATTAGGATTTGTCGTAAATGCCGGATAACGAGTTAACCATTCCGCGTAACCACCATCTAGAATCGTGATTCTTTTATATTTTATACCAGGGTCCCAATCTTCTAAAATTTTCCTCAATATGTTTAAATGATTTTCAGATGTTAATGTTTTGCTTGATGTATCCCAATCAATTAGAACTATAACATCGACGTATTGAGCTCCCCTATGCCTAAACAGGTCTAAAGACTTTTTCTCTTTGCGGAAGTATTCTTCGAAATGCGATGTTAATGCCCTAGAATGCAAAATTTGTTATTCATCTTTAAGTGAAATAATTCACCATCTAAAGAATAATATTTACCTACCCAGGTTTTATTATAGTATTAGGAATGTTAACCGATTTGTCGCTTGATATTCGCGACGCTTCGAATTCCAACTTAGGCCTGATATCAATGATCAGGTATCTACCGTCTATTTTTTGCATTAATTGAAACAGCTGATCACAGTTTATAATTTCTTCATTATCACTGACCAATGGATCCCTGGTTGGTGTCTCAGGCAATTTTATAGGGCCGTCAATAGAAGCCATACATATGTCTGTTCTTACTTCATTATCTATATCCATTCTTTCCACGCTGTTTTTTTTCAACATCTTTTCTTTCAGCAGCTGCTTATATCGGGTATCTAATTTTTGTTTCAAGTCTGCAAGTAGCTTCTTCACTTCGTTGATCTAGAAAAAAAAAAAAACAATACAGCTATCTTATTTGCTCGCGCCAATTGTCCAAGGTTTATTTTAACGTACAACACCTCAGAGGTTTACATTCAGAATACCTTTATCTGTGAATGATAAGTTTAATAAAGCATACGCCACTCCCCACCTGATTGACATGTATATTTGTTAAGGAGAATGTTTTATCATTTTTATATTCTTGAGTATTTTTCAACCATTCGATCGAGTCCAACCATCTCCTTAACATGATGTATTGCTTCTCCTCGTCTCCTTGTAACTTGGCATTCTGGGCCTCATTGTACATATTAGGGAGCCTTTTGCAAATATCAGCTGGTTTTTTCCCTTTATAATCGATTCTGGTCTTTTGCAGCAACTCTTTGTAGCTGGTATATCGCAAAGATACTTTCTCAGACATTTTGGTTGCTTCTGTTTGGATCCAAGTTGTACAATGCAATGAATACTATTCTCTGTAGTATCTTCTATATATGTGTACACAGTATCCTAAAAAAGAAAGAAACTGTTTAATATATTTGATCTTAGATTTTGATAAGAATATTTATGAGCTCGTAAATTCTATTGGAAAAATATATGGTCTGCTGACATAACTGACAAAGAAACCACTAATTGATATTGGTTACCTTTTCACCACTATAATCCATAATCTAAATAAGTGCGTAAGTCTCAATGTTACTAGCTCTCACGATAGTGCAGGAAAAAATGATGTGATGCGACATTTCTGTTTACCAATAGAAATGTCAAAATTATATAAACACACTGAATATCAACGAAACACTCTGCTCGAACGATGTCACTGCCGCTTTTCTCTATATCCTAGTAACGCGACGTTTATTATTGTGCCAACTTGGCGCCCTCTTGCAGACTTTGTCTGTCTTTTACATTTCGTGCAATAGTTTTTTTGGTTGTACGTCGAATTTGTGCCTATGCCAAATGCCACGTGGATCATCAATAATCCATTCTATGTCACCTCAAATTAATTATTTCATGGTCAAAGGATCGCGCGCAACGTGAAATGAATGTATTTTCATTTCATTGGAGCGTACTGTTATACGTATATAAACAACTGTATAAAACAAAAGACTGAATTTTAATAAATGTTGATTTAATAAAAAAACGTAATAAATATAAGCGATGAAAATTACAATACTCGCTATCTGTATGCTTTATGAGAAATGACATGAAAAGTATTAATTGATTCTCCTAAAATAGACGTATATATCATTTAATACATCTTATACCGACATTTTTGCACTTTCTGTGTAAAAAGAATATAAACAAATATTCTTCTCACTTTGAATTTAAACTTCATGTTTAATATTGTACTTGTTGTATATAAACATATATCATTATTCTAAATGAAGTAATTGTCAATTTTAATGTTTTTGATGTTTTGTTAATGTACTTACTTAATCATAAGTGAGGTTAGAACACATTCTTGATTGAACTGCCTTATCATTTCAATATCGCTGACGATGTTATCAATATAAGATAACTTACAGATTTACCCTTATCATATATTGATAATACAGTTTCGAGACGACAGTTAATTTATTTGTCGTCAGATACTGATAACAGTCAAGGAAAATAGTCACCAGTTTTTTTTTTAGAAAAACGAATAAAAACTAGAAATTTTTCAACGCTATAAAAATGTAAAAACATATATGGAACCAATATTGTATAAAATATAATGCGTGTAAGTCATGTTCATTTATTCAGATACTGTATATTATAATTCTTTTTTTTTTAGTTTTCTTTACATAATTCATACTTGATTAAGTTTACTTTCTTAATTGTACAAAAACTCATTTTCTTTGTAAATTTCGTATCTTTCTTGTTGTACTAGTGCTTTCAGGAGTTGTTCACAAAATGTATACCGCATATAAAAATTTTCCGTTCCTTTCTTAAAATATCAAAGAATATAAGTAAAAGTGCCGAATAAGTAAAAGTGTTTAATAAAATATCAACTAACACTGAATTAATTAAAATTGAGCGGAAAAAATTTTCTTTTTTTTTTTATATTTTGTACAAATTTAAAGTATTCCTACACGATAGTTAAGAAAATACGCTGTAGAATTGATTACAAACACTGCTATCCCTAATCTTCAAAATGACCGAGGCCATTGATCGTCATGTAAGGTTTGAAGACATTGAAAATGCGCGAAAGATGTTGGCGATCAATTGATTTTGAATGAGAATCGGCCAGTGACAAATCGTAGGGAGTTTATCCATTATCCGTGCAAGACAAATTGACGTAGCGTAGCCGAAGGACCCTCTTAGGTACATCAGTGGCTGACAAACTGGTCAAAGCCCTCTTACAACCCTCTCGGCTGCCAAATTATCAGACTCCTGTGGACAGCGAAGCCATTTATACTGTCCACCAGCTAAGACGTACTAGGACCAGGGATAAAGACGATCCTACAAGGCGAATCAATCGGTAATCGACCGTCGGGACAATACGATTTATCATTGAAACTTTACAGCTACGTCGAACAGCTTGAAACCCATTCTATCGCAATTTATGATGATTTATATCGTTTTCGATATATTTCTTTTTGTTATTCTCTTTTGTTTCTATCTTATC